GGGTCCGGGAGAGAGAAAGCAGTCGGAGGGCGTGCCTCACAAAAGATCAGGAACCAATTCCAACACCGGTGTCTAGTTCAGGCATTTTATTTTCTACATTGTCTTTCCCTTCCGTATTCCCAAGTAACATTTACTGGAATGTTACCCCGTGGTCTTAGCTATGATTTGGGGGGCCCAGGGAGGTGAGCTGAGGGCCAGGAGCGTGGATGGAGAGCCACAGGGCTCAGTGAAGCTAGTTAGGGAAGAGGAAGAGGCCAACTGCAGACCCCGGGCGAGAGGCCAAGGAAGGACAAGACAAAAGGTCTGCAAACACTCCTCACTCCGGAGGACTGTCTCAGTACTGGGGGAAGGAGAACCTCCCAGGGCCCGACGGGCTGGAGGTGTCCTGCAGGACACCCCGACAGAAGACAATTAATTGCCCCCCAAGCCCAAGCCGTGGTGTGGAGCCGCGGTGTGGCTTCACCAGTTAGTGAGGCGCCGATGGGCCGGCTGTTCGCTGCATTCTCTCTCAGCTTGTACCAAATGGCTGCCTGGGCCTTCTTATGTTTCTAAAGAAGCTTTTTTTTTTTTTTTTAAAGAAGCTTTTTTAAATTAAAAAAAATTTTTTTGGTAAAGTCATTTTCTCTCTGGCCCCCTCTGGGGCTGTCATTGGGGAGGCAGAAGAGTGGGGGGCGCCCCTCACCGGACTCCCGGCCCCCCACCCTGAGCCCATCGCCCTGGGCCCCCGCGCCCACCCTGCCCTCACACAGGACTCTTTCACATTCCAAACTGCCCGCCTGGTTTGTTTTTTTAAGAAAGCAATAACCGCAGCACATTCACTGTGGTTCTTTATGACTTTCCATATGTATAATCGCTCTTTCTCCCTTCAGTTTTTCCAGTGTTTTTTTTTTCTTTTAAATAAATGCTCATAAATTTTACTGAAAAGGATGAAAAAAACATACCTAAAAAGAGCAGTTTGTTGGGTGAAAAAAATAAAAATAAAAACTAAGCTGAATATAGAGAAACTGAACTCCTGTTTAGCATTGTATACCTAAGAAATAAATTTTGTTAAAGTTTTTATGAAAAAGAGATTATTCTGCAGTATCTCTAAAACATGAGCGTCTAAGACTTGAGCTTTTATTTGATGAATTTAACCACCCAGCCACCCCCTCCCTTGGTTCGCTGAGAAGACCCCTCAGTCCTGGGAGGAAGACCCCTGGCTTTAGTCCTCTCAGCCATCCACTTCATGTCGAGCCTTGCGTAAGTTGGCCCCCAGTCTTTATGACCACAAAATGAGGGGGCTGGACTAGAAGCTTTTAAAGGACCCTTTCATCTGGAGAGTTCAACTGGCTTTATAATTAAGTCAGTCACCTGATAAACTAGAGCAAAGAAACTGATTTGGAGACCCCCTCAGAGAGGCAGCGGCAGACTCTGCTGGCTGCCTTCCCCACGGCCATTGTCCCCTTCCTCCCGACCAATGGGAACTCCGATTTTTATGTGGGCAGCAGGGTGCCCAGCTATGAATGATCTGCCAGCCTCCCTTGCACCTGGGCGTGGCCACCCGAGGCAACCCCAGCCAATAAGATGCGAGTGTAAAGCCTTGCAGGGCCAACGCAGCTGGTTACCATTTTTTGCCCTTTGCCTTCCTGCCCGGAATTCAGTCATACGGTGGAGGTAGACTAGGGGTCAAAAGGACGGCAGAGGGGCAGAACAGAACAGGCCAGACGTGTCTGGGTCCCAGTGCGTGAAGGAGTCACTGATCTGGCCTGGAACTGCCCCACCTCAGATGACTTCTTGTTCTCTGACAAAAGGAAACCCTTGGTCTGGTTAACCCGCTGTGAAGCGGGGTTTCTGTCACATAATGCTAAACCCAGTCCTAGTCTGTGCCAGGCTGAGGAGGAGAAACAATCCTTCAACAGATATTGAGTGCCTACTATGTGCCTGACAGAACTGAGGGTGAATAACCCAGACATGCTCCCTGACCTAGAGGTCTCAACAACTGGTGGAGACAAGCAGTACACATAATCAAAGACATCGATTAATTACTATCATTGCTATCGAGGAAATGAGGCAGGCCTTGGAAAAGAGAATAGTAGAAGATTTGCTTCCAATGTGTGGGCCTGGAAGGACAAGTGAGGAAATGATAGTGGAGGCAAATTTAAGGAGTGGGCTGTTTGAAGGAAGAATGAGAAGAAAGAATATTCCAGACCAGAAGAACAGGCCACGCAAAGGTCTCTAGCTGGGAAGGAGCAGAAGGAACCAGGGGGGAGCTGGTGAGTTCGGAGCTGGTGAACGAGGGATTGAAACGAGATGAGAGAGGTAGGCAGGGCTGGCCATGCAGGCCCCGGGTGGGTTTTATTTGACATCATTGAAGGATTTTTAAAGAGAAAGTTGCCTTTTAAGTTGCACTCATCTGAAAAGCAATGTCAGCCTCAACTTTTGTGGGCTATTGGCTGCACAGAGATCTTGCCAACGTGGCCCATCATCCCAGTGCGAGCCCTTTTGTGACTATCCCCTCTCAGCTTCTTCGTCTCCACACATGGACGGCGATAGTTCTGCCTCTAAGAGGAGGCAACGTGTTGAGTCCTGTAACGTGTTCAGAACCATGCCTAACACAGTAAGTTGCTAGAACAGGGTTTATTATTTTCAGTTACTCAGAAGCCCACTGGGGTCCAGATTCTCCTGCCTCTGGGGTGGGGCTTCTACAACTTAGCATTAGCATCACCTGGGTCTTGTCCCCAAAGACTGATTCAGCAGGTCTGGGGTGGCGCAAGAATTTGCATTTCCAACAAGCTTCCGGGGGTGCTGATGCCCGTGGCCTGAAGACCACACTGCTCTAGCCCAGAACCTGCACGGCCCTTTGGGGATATCTTGGGGGAGGATAACTACCCACGCACGTTGTAGCCATCTTCGGCCATGGCGGACCAGGGCAGAGGGTGGGAGACCCAGAGCCCCAACTCCCTGAGGAAGACTCAAAGGCGTTCCCTCGGGGAGTCAGAGCAGAGTACAGTGGTCCTCGGCCTTTAAGGGACCTCAGAACTCCTGGCACAGATGGCAAGAATGCAGATTTGAGGAGCCCACCCCAGAGACTCTTTCAGCCGGGGTGGTGGAGCCCAAAAATATTCGCGTTAAATGACTCTCCATGAATTCTGCTGCAGGGGTGGCCCAGTGGTGGTTTCGTGACAGTGGTTTTGTTTTCAGACAAACCCAAGTTCAAATGTCCTTCAACAACTTTCCATCCTTGCGTGGCTTTTAAAACCTCTCCAAGTTGTGCTTTCCTTATCTGAAAAATGAGCTTATTAATACCAATCATATCCCCCCATGAGGATGGAATAATAATATTTATGCAGAGGGCAAAAAAAAACTTATAATCACAGGCTCCAGTGTGCACAGGTATAACTTGCTTTATTTATCTACAGTTTATATTAACTTAGCTCCTGACCTCATATTTCCTGCTAATAGCAGAAAACAAGCTTTGGAATACTAGATCACTCTCACAGCTTCTAGCTTAAAAAAAAAACAACAAACCTCAAGTCTCTTTCAGGGAGCCACAGCCCGCATTGGGTTTCTCTCCTCCTCTGTTGCTGGCTCACACTCTGGAAAGGATCTGGGTTCTTCAGGGGCTCATCACCCTAACTTCCTCGGGCCTCCCCCCATGGCCCCGCTGGTCCTGGGCACAGGCATCATCTCCCTTGGTCTCCGTACCTGGAGACCTTCTCATTTCTTTGCTCAGAGCTCTCCGCTGAGGTGGACCCAGCCACACAGCTGCCTGTGATCACCAGCCCAGACGCCTGGCTCAATCATTGTTAAACTGCTGCCCAGACGTGTTGGAGTGGGCCTTACCTAGAGTTTCAATCACTACCGATCACCTCCTTCCACTAACTGGTCCAACATCTGTGTTGTTTTTACAGGTCAGGTGAAAAGCGGGACTGCTTCTGATTTCACCCTGCTTTCGTCCTCGTGATTTATAGTAAAACCCTGAGCTCTGCATCCTGGGCCGGGGGAAGGGGGGGGGTCGACTCACAGGTACCCACAATCCTTTTCTTTTACAGCAGCAACAACAAAAGTCTAGTCTTGTGAGTACAAGTCTTGCTTTCTGCTTCAGACTTACACAAATCCATTCAGACCTCCAGCTGACCTCTTGCTTCTTGGGGGTAACTGCCCTCCCACTGAGCACAAGGCAAATAGACCCATGACACTGCTCCCCAGTGATAGGGGAATCAGAAGGTACAAAGAGGCCTGAGGATGAGGGAAGACACTGTATTTGTATCTCAGAACATTAGTCCTTTCTCTCCCTCAGGCGAAGCGCTTACGGAGCACACAGCCCGGCCTGAACTAACTGCTCAGTGCGTGACCGCCATGATGACTTGGGGGAAGAGGAGGAGAAAGAGGATTCCTTCTCCCTGACTGTGTGGTGCTTTGCTGAACTGGCTCTGCCTGGCTGCGACTCTGGGCTCCCAAGACTAGGGACGCCTATGAGGGGGCCCAGGAGGAGCAGGTCCCAAGCGGTGACTTGTTCACTTTCACTTATGAGGTAAGTGGGATCTGCTGAGTGGCGGCCTCAGAAGTGTGCCACGGGGAAGTGAAGCAAGAAGGGAAGGAGGCTGCCACTCCCTGCTCACCTCCCCCTCAAGGTGCTGGAAATGCCCCCACAGGAGATCCACTCCTACCTAGATCAAACAGTATCCCTGCCAGGGTCATCTTTAAGATGAAAGGACCAGCGAGGGTCAATGTGTATGTATGTTAATAGTTCCCGGGGGTGTGCTGTCTGTTCTGGGCCCTGAGAACACTGCAAGAGGAGAAAGGGTAAAGGCCATCAGCCCCTCATCCTCCTGAATACCTGGAGAGAAAAGGAGCATTTGGAGCTGCCTCTGTCCCCTCCTCAATGCTGAGCTGCTGGGAAGGGGGGTGGCTGCCAGCGCAAGGGGCCACCAAGCCTGTTCAAACTTGCTTTTATTTTCTAATAAGGAGTCAGGATTTGAGGAAGGAGGGGGTATCTGACTCGGGGTTCAGGAGGAGGCCGAGGCCTTGCAGAATAGGATGGGCGCTCCTGCTCTGCATGTGGCCCTGCTGCTAGTAGGGGTGATCCAGAGTGTGCTCCATGATGGTCCGGATGGCCATCCACGTCTCCTGGGCCGTGGGGATGATCTGGGAGGCTGGCAGCAGGAAGCCATAGCGCCCTGTGTCCCGGAGCTCAAAGCTGAAGGCGTACTTGATGCCACTGTCATAGGCCCAGTCGAGGGTGATCCCACTGGCCACATCTGGATACGAAAGGGCAAAAAAATGCCCTGAGTGGAAGAACAGAGAGTTGGCCGCAGGTACGAGGATATCCTGAGTAGAAAGTGGGCTCTGGAGGCCCAACCCCAACCCACCCCAGACCACATCAAGCCTCCCAACCCAGGCCTTAATCTGGGCCACCACCTGCCCATTCCCTGCTCTAGCAAAAGGAAAGCTCCTTGAGGCCACTAGGCAGAGGATCTTTGCCCTCCAGGAATGCCACCGAAAGCTGAGCACCGGTGCCGGGAGCTATGAATGCTGCAAAGCGACAGCTCCCTAGTGAGGAACTCAGCTCTGGCCCAGTCCAGCAGGACCTATGGCACTGCCCTGTGGCCAGCCAGGCTTGCCAGTCAGCAAAGGGCCTGCACCTGCCCACTCCAGGTGGATGTGGTGCCCGAAGAAGCAGCCAGGGGAAGGCTCACTCACAGAGGGTGGTGCTGATGCTGCCATAGATGTACTTGACCCCATGGACCTCGTACAGGGCCTGCACCGCACTCTTGGCCAGATTGTGCTGCAAGATGACATCCAGAGGGTGAGAGGCTGGGGCTCTCCAAACCCCCACACCCTCACCAGCTGCCGTTAGGAGTCTTGGATGTGGACTGTATAGATGGCTCTCATGGGAAGGGAACACAGCACCTCCAGCTTTGGACTTAATCACACATGAAACCAAGCCCCCCCTCCTCCCTACCCTGGCATGGCTTGGTCCAGACTCCTGTTCCAGAGTGAGGGCCCGAACCCCCTCAGAGTCTGCCAGATGCCTCCCCCAAGCCCTGCGCGGCCAATCTCACCAACTCCTCCTGGTCTGAAACAGGCTCCAGAGAGTGGCCGTACGGGTACATGAGCATCTGAGAGTAGCTGTGGATGGAGATCAGAGCCTTGACGTTCCCATGGGCTGCGATGAAGTTGGCGGTGGCAGCCACCTCTGGCTCGGAGTGAGGGTAGGGCCCACGATAAGTCTCTGAGCACGGGTTGCCATTTGAACCATTTCCTGGAAATAAAATAAAACCCTCTAAAGGGTTCAAATTCCCAGGCTCGGGAAAGACACTTAATGCACACAAAACAGCCATCTACTTCTCTGTATTTCCCAGCTTCCTTTGCAGTTTGGTTGAGGCCATGTGACTACTCATGACCAATGAGAATGTGTGCAGTAATGACATGTCACCTCTAGTTTGAGGCTGTAAGAGCAAGTATGATGTCTCTACACTCTCTTCTGTCTATGTGGCTGGAAGCAAAAAACTTTAGATGGAGGAGACATCCCGGATCCCTCCGTCACCATTGGAAGAGACCTGCCAAGGACAGCCACCTGCCCACGTTGGATTTTGTGTGCATCAAAACCAAATTTTTTATTGTGTTGAGCCACTGAAATGAGGAGGGGTATTTGTTACTGCTGCATACCCTAGTCTAGTACATCCAAGGGTGTAGCCCCACTGGGACTCAGCAGCTCTGTGAGCCTGTAAGGAGCTCCCGGGACTTGTCTTTTGGTTAAGTCCTGACTGTGGCTCCATTACAGAGGTGGGTCTGCCTTAGCAGTTGCCTCCAGAGGAAACTCTAGGTCTCCAACCCCGGCTTCCCCTATGAGCTGACCGATCCCCCACTGCCATGGGGAAGACTTGGGTCAGCATGACCAGGAAAAGAAGTAGAGCTCAGTGGTTGCCCAAGGCTGGTCTGCAAACCGCAGATACATCAAGTCTCTGAAAATTCTTTCTGGGAACCTGATTTGGGGGAAAGAGCAAAGAGAAGCTGTGTCTCTGTTTTGGCCACGAATTTAATTTGTTCCCATCTCCTCCTAGATCCTTTGCTCCCCATCTCTTTCCCTCCTGTTCCGTTTTCCTCCCTCCCCAAGGGCCACGCACGTTGTAGAGGACTGGGCTGGGCTGGTCAAGATTTGTGGGTTCGGGACACACTTGGAAAGAGTCATCCCCGTGCCTCCTCTTGCTCCTCCTCCCTGAAATGACCACACGCAAGGCTGCTCCAGAGGCCAGGGATCACCCCGATTCCTGAAGCCTCCTGAGGGTGCCACAGCACCCCTCTTGCCCCCCAGGGCAGTGGGCTGGCTGGGGAGCTGGGTACCGGCCCATGGCCCAGTTCAGACGATGCCCTGGGGCTTTAGCAAGTGAGGGCTTCGTGGGTGGGAGGGACAACAGACAAATGACTCATTACGTAGCAATTAAATTAAGGCAATAATACAACCATAAACAAAACCTTCCTGCCTGAGTCACCAACCTCCACACACCTTGGTTATTCCTGGCCAGAGGCAATTCTGTCACCCGGAAGCACCTCCCCTCTTGGTCTGCAGGTCCTCACCTGAGGTGGCGACCTGCAGACCTGGTCAGAAGGGGATGTGCCCGTAGGGAACCGAGGGGTGCGGAGCAGTCCCTCTGGAGGGAGTCAGCCCAGCTAACAGTGGTCCGGATTGTTGTGTCTGCCAGGAGCTTCTGCACCTGCTACACTTGATGAATGACAAATAGCAACAGATGAGCAGAGCAGGAAAGGCTGAAAGCTTTGTCCGCATTTACAGCCGGCGCTTAGAAAGTGGTTCCCCTGCCAACGACCAGGTGGCTTTGCCCAAATATGGAGGAACACTTCAGGCCATTAGTTCTGGTTTGAGCTAAGCAGAATAAACTAATCTCCCCCGACCAAATGGGAATTAGCTGCCTGCCTCTCTCCGCCCGTTCCACAAAGTCCTCTGAGCCTGCCTGCTTCACGAGTACCTGCTAATGGATTCATTAGCTATTTATTTTTCCTACTCTAAAAATGTAATTTGTAGCAAGGGGAAATCTCTGGAAGGGCATGGTAAATTATTAAAAGCAGTAATCTTTGGGTAGTGGGATTATGGGAGCTTTTTGTCCCTGCTGGGCTTTTTTCCCCATATATATTTTTACATTGTTTGTATACTGATTTTTTTTTTCTTGCAGTGAAACCACAAACGTTATTTTCTCTGAGAAGTAATCCGTCTTTCTGCTAGCAAGTCCATCTCCGGGTCTGTGGGCACTCACTTCAGCCATTTCTGAGGGGCCCGTGTGGATGACCACTTGGGGCTGGTGTCCCGCCATTTGGAGGTGAAAATGTCTCATTTTACACAGTTGTGTTTCCTTACACAAGCAGTTACACACACAGCCTCCACATCTCAGGAAACCCCCACACTGTGGCCTGGGGGGGCTTCTCTCCAGATGCTTCCGAGCTGTCCTTCTTTTTCAATGAGAACAGACTGAAAAAAGCCCGAGTTTCAAAGCAACAGGCATCCAGATCTAGAATGTTCCATCTCTTTGGTTTAGCCGCCCATCTGTGGACCTGCTTTTCAGCAGCAACAGCATTGCCTCCTGTGGAGCCAAAGCTCGGTGCCCCACCCCCCTGTGGGTGCCACACCCCGGGGGCCAAGGGCCGCATGCATGCAACCCTCTCGTCTGGACCCAGCATCCTACCCTTCAAAGAGCTGCATGCCCAGGCGCACCTACTCGTCTCTGGGCTTTTGGGGGCCTCAGTTTCCTCGTCCAGTCCCCATGCCCCTGGGTGGTAAAGGAGACAACCTGGAAGGACACCAAGGAACTTGGGGGGAAGCTGCCCCCCCCGCCCCCCCGGAATCATACAGCCCAGCAGACAACCCCCACCCAGCAGCCCAGGGGCACAAAGTAATTGGGTCAAAACTAAAAACCAGGCTCAAGGGGTGCCGATGATAAGGCATCGACTTATTTTATATTTGACATATTGTTCTGGCCTCCCCGGGGGGGCAAATAACAGGTCACCGCTCTCAGGAAATGAGTTTGGAGGCCTTTCCTCCCGGCCTGCTCCCTTCCAGGGAGGGCTAGAGGGGCATCGCAGACCCCGGACTGGAACCGATCAGCAGGATCACCGACCTCCGCCGGCCCTCCTCGGCCCCCCTTCGGCTTTGACCCTTGCAGTTGGTCCCCATGCAAGATGCTGTTTCCATGTTTCTTCTGAAGGCTTAGCATATGTATACGTTTTACACACATGTGCAACCTGTGCCCACATCCCAGTCCTGGGCACATGCGTGCCTGTCCCTGGCCATGACTGGCAGGCACTAACTACGTCGCCTCCCAAGTTATGAGTCCACACAATGGGACTGTGGGAGACGGGTCTAGGACCAAGTCCTTCTCCGGCCCCACCCTCGGGTCCAGCAGGCCGCCATACCTCCAAAGCCTGACCTCCAGTTCCTGTTAAGATCCACACCGATGCAGGGGATTCCGGGTCTGCTGGACTTGTTCTTCCGCCACAAGCGGTTCTGAGAAAGCCAAGGACAGGGGACCACGTGACTGGGCCCATTCCCAGGCCTGGGAACCCCCGAGTTCCTAGCCTACAAAGGGGGCTCTGGTGGGACAAGGAGGGGCAAAGGGAAGGAGTCCCTGGGGCAGGTGTGGCTGGCGTGGGGCTGGACCAAGGCCGCAGATCAGACTTTGTGGTTAAAGCCAGGGTCTGGTCAGGGGCCTGAGCACAGGCTGCTAGCAGTGGCCTTCCTTGGGCAGCAGGAGGGAGGTCAGAGGACAAGGTCCACAGCTTCAGGACCAAACAGCGCACCTGCCTCAGTGAGTCTCGGCGAGGAACCCGAGGGACCAGCTTCCCAAAGCCGAAGCGACCTTTCCTCCATCACCTCTGGAGCTGACCCCTGGCCCCTGACCCCTGACCCCTTCCCTCCCAGGGGCCCTCACCATGCTGTGGGTAAAAGCAAACCCATCGGGGTTAGAGACGATCTCCAGGAAGATGTCCATGGCGTTCAGTATGTTCGTCAGGATGTCGTCTTTGCCATATTCGCCGACAATCTGCAAGAGAGGACAGAGTAGGGCCAGGGTGAGGGACGGGAGGCCCTACTGGACCCTCCTCCGGGGCCGAGCAGGACCTCTGCACAGCCAATGGCCACAGACAGAGGGGACATCAGGCCATTAGGTACCTCCTCTGCCCAAAACCAAAAGCTTGGATTTTAAGCAATTAGAAGGCAGAGGCCAGATGTGCGCTCTGAGATGGGAAAGGCCAGCTGGCAGCTGCTCCAAGGGCAGGAGGGTAGAGGCACCCTGAGTTTAAAAAACCAAGTGTAGTATTTCAACTGGAGGCGCCCTGAAACAGTCAAGCAGCCCCCTCCCCTGCCCCCATCGCCCATGCTGACCTGCTTGGCCATCCAGATGCCTGTGGCGTGGGTGATCCACTCCCGGGAGTGAATTCCAGCGTCAATCCAGATGGCCCGGCGCCGAGAGCTTCCAGTGCTGAACTGGGGAAAAGCACCCGGACCCGGACAAGTTTGAACCGAGATGGCTATGGCACTGTCCCTGGGCTGCCTAGAAGGAGGCCCCGGATGTATCCTCACTGCCCGGGGTGGCCCTAGGTGCCCTGGACGGGGGCTGTATGCACAGGTACCTATGCGTGAGCCCACAAAGTACACACGCGTTGGAGCCCTGGAGAGCAAAGTGATCCAGCCAGACACAGAACTTCCCAGGTCTGAAAGTATCTCAGATGCTTCTAGTGCTTCTCAAACTTTAAAGGGCACGAGACTCCCCTGGAGAGCTGACTAAAATGCAGATTCTGATTCAGCAGGTCTGGGGAGGGCGCTGAGGTTGGGCATCGCTAACAAGCTCCTGGGGACGCTGCTCCTGCAGCTGGAGGCCCACACTGAGCAGCAAGATCTCAGACAACAACATTCAAGAACACAGACGGCCCCTGGGGACAATCAGCGCAGGGGCCAGCACGTCAGGTCCCGAGTCTGCTGAGATCCCTGGGCCCTTCAGAAGAGTCCCCCAGGGCACTGCCGAGAACAGCAGTGCCTGTCTTCTCTGACAGCTGGATGCCCTGCCTGGCCCACGCTCCTGAGTGCTCTCTGTTTGCCGGTGAGCTCCACACTCTACTCTGTCCTGCCTCTTCCTGACCAAGGGCTCCGCCACCGCCAAGCTTGCACAAAGTCTGTTCACAGTGGTCCTGTGAAGGGCTAGGAAGTCCCCCACCGACTCCAGCCCATCTGTCGGGCTGCCTGAGCCAGATGACCTCAGTCATTTGTAAATGAGGCCTCCATGTACCTCTCTCCCACTTAACAGATGAAGCAACCGAGGAAACAGGAAGCAGGTGGAGTCACCCACACTCATACCCCAAGTCCAGGGTGACATCTGCCAGTCCTACTATTCCATCTCCGTAGCGACCCTCCCACCTGCTTCCTGACCCAGGACAGGCCAGGCCAACACACTGTCACCTGTTCATGCCCACTAGGGTGGGTTCCTGATTGCCACAACCCCAACGTTTACAGGTCACCTCAACAGGCATGTATACCTCTTCTCTTCCTCTAAAATTCCCACCAGGCCGTGACCGTGCAAGAGCTCAACCTTATGCCAGAGGCCCTTGCTGTAGAGTCCAGTGACCCGCACTGCTTGCTCTTACCTTCAGGACAGGAATGGACCGATTTTCAAAGCTGTTGCCAATCCAAATTTTTGAGACAATATCTGCATTCTCAGTTACAAAGCTGTCAATCCAGCTATAGATCTGAAAGGAACAGAGTTTATCAGACGGGCAGTGAAGCAAGGAAAGCGTGAACCCAGGACCTCTCTGAATAGTCTCCTCCTCCCATCCTCCCCTCCTTAAGGATGTCCCACTTTCCGTGAGGATCTGAAGGAACCCACATCAAAAACTACAAGACGACAACCTCCAGGCTTTAGGAAGCAAGCTGGGGTCGGCCTGGGTCCTCAAGGCTTCTCGCCACCATGCAGAGCTAAGCCTTTGCCTGGAAGAACAGCAGGTGCTGAGCCTGCTCAGTGCCGGGGTCAGCCTGCAAGGCTGTCTGTCTCAGGATGGAAGTTTCTCTTACTTCCATTCAATACATTCGACAGATTTCATAGCCCTCACAGTGTCAGTTTTGGTCTTTCTCCTTTTAGGTTCTTTCTTTTTAAAAAAAATATTTTATTTATTTTTAGAGGAGAAGGGAGGAAGGAAGAGAGGGAAAGAAACATCAGTGTGTGAGAGAAACATCAACCAGCTGCCTCTTACACACCCCCAACCAGAGACCTGGCCCACAGCCCAGGCATGTGCCCTGACTGGGGATTGAACTGGTGAACTTTTGGTTCACAGGCTGGCACTCAGTCCACTGGGCCACACCAGCCAGGGCTCCTTTCGGATTCTAAGCCGCTTGAAAGCAGGGTCATTGGTCTCTGACATCAGCAAGTGCTAACAGGCTATATTAATTCATTATCTTATTCTTTCAATACATATTATTGCATTAACAATTATATGGAAGAAAATGGACCCTTGGGATGGGGAGAGTGGAGGTAACAACAAAGTGGGCAACACCAGTAACGTCACACCGTCCACAGGGGTGGGAGCTGTGCCTTGAATTGCTTTCTGGACCGGGTGTCTCTCTGCTCCCCTTGCACATTCGCCTTTATAAACAAGTCCCAGTCATCACGGCTGCCCTAACCGTCAGTGCCTGTGATTGCGAACTTTCTCTAACTGAAGGCAGCTCCATTTGCTCTACAAAATGGCTCTCCCGCGTGCCTGGCTTCCTGCCCTTTCTACGCCGCAGTGCCCACCACCTGGCCCACTTAACCCCAGAGACAGCCGTGGAGAAGTCAAGACCCCCAGACTGCTAGCCAGAGAGTTAGAAACGAAGGTACCTCCACCTGCTCTGTTCTGGGGGGGCCCACCTACTAGACTCGTTTCTCCACCACAAACCTTCACCCAGCATCTGCTCCACACTCCCCGAGTGTCAGATCACGGTCTCCCGCAGATCCCAGAGTCCTTCTCTAATCTCTGCCTGAATCTGGAGACCCTGTGGTCGCAAATGGAAAATGGAGGCCAGAGCTCTACCGAGCAGACCTACCTCCTCCAGGGTGTGGTAAGAGGAGTAACTGAAGCTGCTGGCACTGCGTTCCAGCCGGCGGGACTTGGCCATGGCCTCTCTCTCCTCATCCAGCAGCACCTGGGCAATGGGAACACAAGTTGGCAGGGGAGCGGCGGGCCGGGATGGACATGTCCCTTCTGAGCCCTGCCTCAGCTGGTGGTGCACAGACAAGGCATCAACACAGGAGAATGTGCCCCTGTGAGTGTGAGCTGCGGAGCAAGAGGAGATGCCGGGTCCCTGGTGGTCCTCCTACTTGCCAAGCTGACGTTCATGGTGCCATTCCCAGGGGAGCACAGGGCGAGGGGTCGGAGAGCCAAGCTCTGTGTCTGAGTCGGAATAACTTGCTGTGTGACCTCCGCCTTTTTCCCCTCGGCTGGGAGACTGGGACGGCCATACCTGCCTTGGCCCTCTTACGGGACAAAATTCATCATAGATAGGAAGGTGTTCCGGAAAGGATGCTTGAGGCCGGCTGCCAACACTGCTTTTGTCCTCTGCGAACACTCTGTTGAGGCCCGTGCTGAGCCACAAACACCGACCCTCTCGGAGAGCACAGGGCTCCCCGACCCTCGACCCCAACCTGCCTGCAGGAAGTGGCCCAGACAACTGGTGTGCAAGCCATTTGGAAAGTCAGTCCCAATCCCTGTGATCAAAGTGCTAACAGACTTTCGCTTACAGACGTCCTAACTGCCCTGTAAGCACAAGCACAGGTGAGCCAGTCCTTGGGTGTCCGTTTGGAGTTGGCACTCAATCCTCATGTGGCACTGGCCCCAGAGAGGGCGGTAGAGTCGACCTCCCAAATGGGCCTGAGACATTTTTTCCCACCTCGGACTCAGGGAGGTGGGCATGGGCCCTTCCCTCTGAGCTTACATACTCTCACATTGGAACCCAGGGCCCAGGCAGCCGAGCACACAGCACTGACTGCGCAGCCTGGGAAGTACCGGAACCCCTCCGCCGCAAAGGGTGCTGGGAAAACAGGGTCTCAACCCCAAGTTGCCCTGGTTGGCAGCTCACGAGTAAATCTTGATGAGGCCTTGCTTCAGCCACCTTTTGGCTAACCAGGCATCTTTAATCTCACTATATCATTTGATCTGCTCATATGACCAGATAAGAGAGCAAGAATCAACTCTTCATGTTTTAGAGATAAAGCAGATTAAAGAGCTAAAGGGATTTAATGAAAAAATTAACAAGGGGCAGAGTTGAGATAAGAAACCATACCTCCTAGTTCACAGCCTTGAATTCTTTAAGGCTAGCTAGCTATGAAAACTAACAAGAATTATTTTGAATATTTAGCCCTTAACAGTGTGGCTCAGTTGGTTGAGTGTCATCTTGCAAAGCAAAAGGTTGCCAGTTCGATTCCCAGTCAGGGAGCATGCCTGGGTTTCGGGTCCCGTCCCCAGTCTGGGCACACTCGCTGTTTCTCCCACACATCAATGTTTCTCTCCCTCTCTTTCTTCCCCCCTTCCCTACCTTTAAATAAATAGATAAGTGTTTTTAAAGAATTATAGCTACAGCCCTGGCTGGTATAGCTCATTGGATTGAGCGCAGGCTGAGAACCAAAGGGTCGCTGGTTTGATTCACAGTCAGTGCACATGCCTGGGTTGCTGGCCAGGTCCCCCGTGAGGGCCACATGAGAGGCAACCACACATTGATGTTTCTCTCTCCCTTTCTCCCTCCCTTCCCCTCTCTCTAAAAGAACAAATAAAATTTTTAAAAAAGAATTATAGCTACAGAGATATATCTACAGAGATATATGTAGAGACAGAGATATGCATAGGTACGTATGTACATCGGTACATCTGTGTGGCAACGTGCACACATGCGCAGAGAGAGGGCAAGCAAGCAAATGCGTGACAGCTAACAGGTGAAAAGTCCATCCTACTATTCCTGCAATTTAAAAAGTGTTTTTAAAATAATGAAAAAGCAATAATACCCTGAGCCAAGGACAACAAGACACTACAATGCCAAAAAATATACCAAGATGTTAACAATGCCCATGAGGATAGAAGGATTATCATTTGACGCAATTTTCTTTCTTTTTTTCTGCTTTGACATTTTGACAACATCCTTATATTACTCCAATCAGTAAAATCTTCTAGATGAATAAACAATACCAAGGCAAAAACAAAACACCCTAAAGGCAAAAATACAGCCCCAGCCGAGGAGTCTTGCAGCCCCGGGCTGGAAGAGCGCCCCCCGATGCCCGCCCACCGCTGCCCTGGTGCGCTTGCCCACGATCTCGCTCAGGTTCACAGGCTTTGAAATAGGACGGAAATCCATGTTTGGGGTTCATCGTATTTTCATTTTGAGCATCGACTACAGGCTAGACCATCATCCCTGCAGTGTTTTCTGGCGGAACTGGCCAGGCTGAGGACAGCAACACCGGGCAAAGCCGGCTTGCTGGCTGAGTTAGGTGGCAGGAGGGGGCCGGATCCTCCCTGGCCCAGCACCACCCTGGGAAGCTCCAACAAAAGGAATTTGTCTTCTTCCCAGGAAATCAGCGGAAATCTCAGCGGCGCCCCCGTGAACGCTGTGTCTCGGAGTTGGGCAGCGCCAGCTGTGGCCGTGGACAGCTGTCAGGGGGACAGCAGGCGGCCTGGTGCACCTGGAGGTAGGGCCCATGCAGACGGCTCTGGCCCTGCCACAGTGACATTGAGGGTCCATTGTCTAACTTCTGGGGACAGTGGAGGGCCTGAGGCGGTGGGTGAAGGTGTCCAACAAGGAGGAGAAATGGGGGAGAAAGGAGGCCCCGCACCCCCCACACAGCCCAGGGACGCCCGCAGGAAGAAGGCCCCCAGAAGGCTGCCCTTTGCTCCACACAACAGCGTGGAGGCAAATGGGAAGTCGGCACCAAACTGCAAACGTCTTTCCAAACACCCTCACAGCCTTGTGAATGGACGCAACACCCGCTCTCGGACTGGGAGTGCTCAGCCTCGCAGCTGGGCCCCAGTTCCAGGAACATCAATCCACCCTGGCCTGGAAAAGACACAGATGTTCGCTCCCTCGCGGGGCCCCTGGGCCTCAGGGCCGGGGGAAGGGGAAGGGAGGACCAGGAATGCAGTCTTGCCACAGGCTCAGGAATGCCTAATTACAGCCCTGTCAGGCTCCTCCGAGAAGAGAAGGAAGAAAAAAAAAAACCTCAGGAGTCAGCCATTTGCCTCCCTGGAAGCCATAACCTGACAGGGAAAGTAATACCTTGGTGTGAATTAATATATGACAGGAGTGAGGAAGCATGGGGACATGAAGCAAAGAACAGCACCTCCAGGAAGGGGGAGGGAAGGAGACCGAGGGCCCCTGAAAGAGAAGGTGACACCTGGCACCGGCACCGGGTGCAGCAACCACAGAATGTAAAACGGACACAGCTCATAGAAGGGGGGGGGGGGAGTGGGAGCTGCTCCAACCCCCCTCCCTGCAGCCACCTCTCCTCACACATCCCCCACCTTCTCTTCCAGGCCTAATGTTTGCAAGGCAGCTACATGGCTGGTGGCAGCCACCGTCCATGTTTACTTGGAAGGGGGGCTGCAGATCCGGGGTGTAGAACAGACCCCCGAGAGATCAAGGCCGAACTGTGGGGTCACTGCCCAAAAGGCAGACTTAAACCAGCAGGCAAACGACAGTGACCGCCTCTGAGGGGGCACAGGGCACAGAGGCAAGGGCGCCGGGCCTGGAGCCAGGCTGTCTCCGATGAAATCCCGACGCCATCACGAACGCGGGCACGTTCCTAACTTCTGTTTCTTCAGAAAACGGGGGTCGTGTTATCACACACTCTAGCACATGTTCTCGTGAAAATGAGAAGGGTTAATGCACGTAAAATGATTAGAACATCGCCTACCATGTAGTAAATGCTAGCTCTGATGATGATGACGACGGTGCCAGTGATGGGACAATAGTCACTCTTGGGGTGGCTCGTAACAGGCACAGCCAGGTGTGACCGGCAAATCTGCACACCTCCGGCGGGAGGTGGCACGAGCAGGACCTGGGATGGCAGAGCGCCCTCCTCAGAAATGGTCACGTGGGAGAGTCAGTGGTCCCTCTCCTGTCCCTGTCCCCTTGGTACAGGCAGGCTCGGCCTCTCCCTCAGGGCTGTGCCCATGGTTGCCCCCTCCTTCCCTCATCTTCTCCTGCTCTCATCCCTGCCGGCCCCTGCCTGCCCTCCTCTGCTCTTTAGACCTGCCCTCCACCTCGACCAACGGCATTTCCACTCCTGAATCTCTTCCCCACCAGTGTTGTTGGGCCCTCACTGAGCACCAAAGAAAAGGCAGCCAACAAACAAAACCACCTGCCCTCATGGATCTTACCATCTAGTAGGGGAGACAAACAATAAACAAGATAAATAAGAAAATGATATAGGAGTTTAGGCAGTAAGTGCCCAGGAAAGAAGTGCTGCAGAAGAAGGGGGGAATCGGGGGAGCGTGGAGCAGAAGGGTGCAATTTAAAATAAGGTGAAAAGGCAACAGGTGAATAAGGTTGTGAAAGCAGTGAGAGAATTAGCCCTGCAGATATCTGCAGAAACAGAATTCCAGCCACAGGCCACAGCCCGTGCAAAGGCCCTGAGGTGCAAATCTAGTCAACGGCCCTGAGGCGGCAATGGCTCAGGCAAGTTTCAAGAACAAGAAGGTGCAGGTACCCGAAGCAGAGGGAGCGAGGGGAAAACAGTCTTACGGCCATTGTGACCATTTGGATTTTGCTCAGAGTGCTTGGGAAGGAGCAGGGTTTTAAGCAGAGGAGTGATAGAATCACTTAGAACTCTCTCTGGCTGCTGTTTGAAAACTAGGTAATAAGGAGGCAAGGGTGGGAGCAAAGAGGGCAGTTAGAAAACTCCTGGAACAGTCCAGGGGAAGGCTGATGAAGTGTTGGCCCTGGTGGTAGTGTAGGGTGTGGTAAGATAGAGATGATGATAGATAGACGATAGATAGACAGATGATAGATGATAGATTTTTTTTTTTTTTGGTAACATACATTTTGACAGGAGAGCTGATGGGATTTGCTGATTGAATATGGGCTGTGTGTGGGAAAGGAGTCAAGGATGACTCCAGGTTTCTTGTCTGATGTTGCCATTTCCTGAGACGAGGAAGGCTGTGGAGGAAATTTTGGGGAGCCTGGGAAGCTCGGTGTGGCCATGGGAAGTCTGAGATGCCCACAGGCAGGAAGGTAGATGAGTCTGGAGTTCAAGGTCAGATACATGACTCAGTTGCAGCTGTAAGTGTGGGAGCAGCAGGAAGTTGAAGGTATTCCGTGCCCTGATCCTGGCTGAGGAGGGGTCAGAGGGCAGGGCTGGGAAACATGGGAAGGAGCAGCCAGCACGAGCGCATAGCCCAGGAGAGCGTGGATTTCCAGGCTGGCTCTCCAGGGACTTGGAGAAGTGGGGTGCTGGCTGGAGCGGGGTGGGGTGCAGGAGCAAGAGAGGGTATTTTGTAAGGTGAGAGAAATAACTCTGCATTTGAACACTAATGGAAGTGATTCCGCAGAGAGGGGGGTTGGTTGAGTGATATTTACACTAAATTGTATTTTGCTCTGGATGCTCAGAGTCTGGGTGATTCTGTTTTCTCCTTTGTGCTTTTCCCCTATTTTCCAAATTACCTAACATGAATATTTATTAATTTTGTAATCAGAAAAAAAAGGCCATTAAAATCCACAGAGCTGATTGCTCAAGTGAAGCTTTTCCACGGTGACTCATCCTAAGGGAGGGAAAAAAAAAAACCCGAAGGGCTGAAAAGAACGAGGAGGTGAAGAAAAATTAAATGCAAATCGAGCTCACTCGAAATCAGATAATTCCTTGCCTGGCCCACCGCAATTTCCTCCCCACCCTCCCGCCTGTCAGCCTCTCCCTGATCCTGGCCCCGACACAACGCTGTCACCCTCAGACAGAGATTTCTTAAATGCAAATCGAATCCTGTCAGAGACCTCTGCTGGCTCCCCCACAGTTTTCAGGGTAAAATCTTGACCCCTTCCCCCAGCAGAGGCTGCCCTTGGCGATCTGGATCAGCTGCATCGCCAATCGCCAATCGGGGGCCCCCTTCCCCTCCCAGGCCCCCCTCTCTGCTCTTCAGCCACACCGTAATTACTGCCTCTGCAGAGCGACTTGTGGGCCTCTTGTACTCGCTCCCATAGCAACCTGCTCCACTCCCTCCGAGCGCTCATCCACTCCATTGTAATCACTGATTCACTCCCCCTGCTCCCCGCCCCCACCACACTCCGCTCCCCCGGATACAAGACGGATCTCCAGCACCTTGCCCAGCACACAGCAGACCTCTCTGTGTCTGGGGGCGGAGCCAATGAATGCACCTCTTCCATCTCCAGCATCCCTGTGATCATGAGGAATTCGGGGGGCGGTGCAGGGGGGGCACTTCCCTCCTCAAAACTCTCCAGTGCCTCTGGCCCAAGAGAAAGCCCGCACCAAAGCATTTCACGCCCGTCTCAGCCTCGTACTACTGAACGAGCACACCTGCCTCCCTTTCCTTCTCACACCCGGCTGAGCGTCGGATCTGTAGCCAGTGTTAAGGTGTGAAGATGGAAACAGGGCATGATCCTGGGCCCCGAGGGGCTCGGGGAAGGAGGCGTCTGTCTGGGCATGCTCTTCCCAAGCCTATCAGTTGAGTATTTCAGCCCAGTGGGGTAATTGTAGCAGACAGTTGCTGAGGGCCCACCATGCGGGAAACACTATATGCCAGAAACTGGGGCTGAGAAGATCCAGAAGACAGCGAGAAAGCAGGCCTGTGTGTTAATAGCTAACACGTCGGACTGGAGGCCAACACCCCGAGCGGTGCAAAGCCTTCCTCCTCCTGGACACTTTTCCCCATCATCACCACAAATCAGCGCAGTGCGGCAGCCTCCCCCACTCCCAAAGCCAAAATCTGATCTCGAATCCGACAATCAAAGTTCAATGTGTTGCAGAGGGACTCTGTGAAAATCCTGCCTGCCTGGGTTAGGGCTGAGAGTCCAGGGCATTTTACTGAGAGAGAGTAATAAGTCTCCCCCCACCAACCCTCCACCTCCAGGGCTTCCAGACCTGAGGACCACAGGGGAGGACAGGCTGAACGAACGGAGCCGGCCAGCCCCAAAGGAGCCGGGGGGGGGGGGGGGGGGGCTCAGAGGTGCCTCTGGAGCCATCCCTGTTGTGCCCAAATCAACCAAAACTTTTTAGAGATCTCTTCCTATCTGCTGGCCAAATGCTGTGGGGCTGGAGTGGGGTGAGGAGGGCTGTTTCAGGACGAAGCAGGAGCAGGGAAATGCAGACTTCAAAATGCGGGCACGGGCTTCAGTGAGAAATGAGCGCCATTTCTTTTGATGTGGTGGTCTCTCTTGTCTGTGGGAGTCTCCCCATTTTTGTTTGTGGGGATTTAATTAGAGAAATAGCCCGCCCCCCACATGCAGAGCGGGAAACAGATGTGCCTGATGAGGATAAAAGTCTTTGAATGGACCCAAGTGCCCCAGCCCTGTGCGCGCATGGGAAAGGAATGCCGCCTGATGCGTTTATCCTCTGGCATGTGGTCTCTCCCGCTCCGGGAGACTGAGTTCCCACACTCCGAGCCCCCGAGGAGGTCAGCGGCGGCGTGGCGTGGTGGGGAATGGACCTCGGCGGGTACAATGCTACAGGTACACTACGGCAGCTGCAGAGGGGTGCCGCAAAAGTCGCTGGGGGGAGGAGGCTCCTGGGGGTATCCTTGAAGACAAAACAACTGAAATCAAATTCCACAGGGTTCAGAAAAGACACTGTAAGGGGCAGCAACCAGGGGGCGCGGGGCGGAGGGGTGTCCAAGGTGAAGGAGGGTGCGGGTTGGTCTGCAGCCACGTCTGCCTGAGCTGTTGCTCTGGGAGCACTCTGTCCAGGAGCGGGGCTGGGTACTGGGAGCCCTGCGTTGGGGGTCGAGGGCAGGGAGGCCACAGCGGGACTCACCCTGGACTTCTCTGGAATGAAGAAATTCCCCTGTATGTATGGCTGAGACACAGCAGGGACAGGACGGAGCAATCAGAAAGGCAAAGGCAGCCGCGCGGTGCCTCAGGAAGCCCCCGGTACATCCTCCTGTCTCCCTTCTCTGCTGTCAGCCGGGGACCCTGTTCCTCCACGTTGAGCCCAGACCAGAACGGCAGCGCTGGGGCAGGACCTCACCTGGATGTCCTTTATCATGATGCTGTAAGCAAGGCCATGAGACTCCAGGTAAGATTTGACATCTTCCAGTTCAGAGAAAGGAACTCTCATGTCCACAGGGAGGCTGGGCCGGGCCGGGCCACGCCAGAAGTCCACCTCGTTTACGAAGCAAAGAAAAACGGGTGCATTTATCACATTACCTTATACACGGTCCTGGAGGCGCCCTGGGCAGACAGGTCACCTTCCCTTACAGAGATACACGGGCCCTGGTTCCATAATGAAAACCCTCAGGCCAGGCAGGAAGATGGGCAAAAGCAAAAGAATCCCCAAGTCACTGAGTTCCCAGCCCTTATTTCAAGCAGCTTCGTCCCCCACGCTCATACTGCAACTTTGCCCACATCCAAAGAGCCCCAAACTTGCTGAAAGTGAGGCGGCTCGTCATCTGGAACAAGGACATGGACAGGAGCCCTGGTCAGAAAGGAGAGACGTCACCATCCCCAGATCTAAAGAAGTAGGAGAGGCCTAATTTGGGTCCCCGGGTCATTTACATGTTCCATCCATTTTTCCATTTATAAAATGGAAAGCATTATTGCATGGTGTTCTGAGTCCTGGTTGGTAGGGGCACTCATACGAATAGGAGCAAGGACTTTAGGCCACATCCAGAAGTATTGGGTTATTTCTACAGCCCTCAAACGAAGCCTTTCTATGGTGGTAGTTGAGGAAAAGGCTTTCCATTGTGGAACCCTTGCAGAGGACAGATGTCCTCAGAAACAAACACTGAGGTCGACAGGGATGAGCCAAAATGCAACACAGGTTTGCCAGCTAAGTTCTTTCAATTGGCAAACAGATGTAGCCTGTCCGTGTGCTGCAGGGCTTCCCACATGTGTCATTCCCCCCCCGCCCCCCAGGGCTTCAGGACATTCCAGCTGTTCTCAAAGCACCCTCCCCACCCTGCCCCCCACTCAGAACAGAAAGCGGGAGCCATCCAAACTTCTGGGCAAATGTCCCCGACCCTTCCTGAAGAGGAGCCCCCGTTGATTTTTCCACAGTTCTGTGATCTTTGGCAGAGCCATCAGAGAGCAGGTTGGTTGGTGGGGGGGCGGGGGGGGCACAGGATGGGGAGGCAAAAGTACAAGCCACTGGGAGGGGAGAACACGTCTCCAAGCCCTGCAGAGTCCTCACCTTTTGGGGCTTCAGGCTCTCCAGGTCCCTGAGAAGAGAAAGTTGCTTCTCATTTTTAGCCAGGATTCGAAGAACCTGGTCTCTGGGAAGACACAGGGCGGGGAGAGGGAGCTGTCAGGGGGCTTCCTGCAAGGCAGTGCTGCTTGGAGGAGGCAGCGTGGAGAAGAGACCAAGCCGAGGGGACCTGGTCATGGGGAGGCTGAGGACACCCGAGCAGGACTTGTAGCTCTGGGCATCACACACGTCCTTCTCCTGGGGGCCGCAATCTCTCTAGCCCCAAGAACAGACAACCCCATGGACCAAATAAAAACTGCCAGTGCCACTAATGAACCCAAGGACAAGACAGGGAGAGAAAGATAGGGAAGGAAGGTGGGGTATGGGGAAGGGTATGAGAACAAGGGAATGAAGGAGAGAAAGGAATAGATACTGGGGTTACAGGGGCGAACAGTGGTCTCAAGTGTTCCTCACACAACATTCCCAAGACCCGGCTCTGTCCAAACCTCATGTCCCCACCTGCTTTCTCCCAAGACCCTGAGGACATGGGCGGGGACATCAGCCTCTCTCTTCCGGGGAGGCTGAGCTCCTTCCTGTCCCACTGGAGGGAGTGGGAGGCCGCGTGACTGAGCAGCCTGCAGGGTCGCCTCCCAGGTCCGATGCCTGGGATGGCGTGGGTTCCGTCCCTGACTGCCCGTGAGGCCGTGGATGACAAGGGGCCTGCTCTCTGGGCTGGTATCTCCCTTCTCCTGCGGGATCTTTGGGAGACTGAGGAAACATTCGCAGCTGACCTGTCATGTCATATTAAGGCTTCTTGTCACTTAAACGAGTGTATTGCCACATCCATCTGTGGTGGGGTACTTAGTCTTGGGGGGGTCACGAACTTCGTCAAGAATCTGAGGAAAGCTATGAACCGTTCTCACAGAAAAAAAGTACATACACGCAAAATTTAGGTATGATTTCAGGGCATTCTTAGAGCCCAGATTAAGAAATTTGGGTTTAGGGAGGGAAAATAACAGGGCTGTGTGTCCTACCCGTGAGTGCGAGAGTGGGAGATTATGAGTTGGAAGTGGGTTCAGGTTGACTAGGTCCCCCTAGGACGACCTCCTCCCCAACCGGGACACTCAGTCCCTGAGCTCCTGTGAGTCCCTCCTTCTGCTACGGAGCAGCAACTCACCCTGTGAAATTCATTTGGCCCGAAGCGGATGCCAGGACAAAGCAGCAGACCAGGAGCACCCGCCTGTCCACTGCAGACGGCCCGGGGCCCAAGCCTCCTCCGAGGGTGCCCTGCATGCGTCCTCCTCCAGGTGAGCTTCGGGGGGTGTCCTCGCGCACAGGCGTGGCCCAGGCCTCAGGACGGGGCAGCACCTAGACGCCGGCAGACCTGGCCTGAGAATGGGTGTTGGGCTCTCTCTGGGGAGACCCAGACTGTGGCTCCCACATTCTGGCCTCGGGAGAACCAGGGCCCCGCTCTGCCCTTCCAGACCAATCCTCTCCTGGAAAAGGCAGAGGAAAGAGGGAAAGAAGAAGACGAGGCCCTTAACCTTCTCCCCCACTCCCCTTTTTAATTGCATTTATTGGGGTGACCCCGGTTAACAAACTTGTGCAGGTTTCAGGGGAACAATTCTACAACCTCTGCACAGTGCGCCGCGGGCCTTTAGCTGTCTTTCTTCCCCAGACGCTTCCTGGGCCGGCGTCTTGTGAGCATCAAACCCGCCACCTTGGGAGACAGATGAGAGTAACTAGAGACCCAAGGAAATCCTCTAGTTCCTTCCCTTCTTCTCTCCTCCTGCCTTCCCACCCACTCACACTTTCCTTGGGCCACAGCCTCCTTACGCATGAGAGTGTGGGTGCCATTGAAAGAACTTGGGGTTGAGAAAGCAGGTGCTCACTTCTGGCGTACAAGATCTAGGGCAATTGACCTAACCTCTCTAAATCTCAGTTTACTCATCAGTCTAATGGGGTTAATAACACCTCCCCTCCCTCCCTTCCAGGTGGGGAGGGGAGGGTATTAGATGAGACAACTTGGATGAACTGGCTTGGCAAAGCCTCAAAAATGGAATGTATTATTCTTTCAAAGGCACCGACTCTTAGTGACAACTGCATCTAAGGTCAGTACTCCAGTTGCAACAGAGAAGGGGAAGAGAAGAGAATGAAGAGGGGGACAAAGGAAATGTATTCTGTGAGACGGGATTCAGGGAAGAGTCCCTTTTCTCTGCCTTTAGGTGGTCACCATTATGCTGGGGAAGGCGGTGAGTTTTCTGCTGGACAGGAAGGTCCCTGCGGTCATTATTATAGTTCTCAACAGACGGCAGAGTGCATTGCTCGGGCCTGCCACGGCCCCGCACAGCCCCCTTTATGGTCTGGAAATAGCAGGGATAAAGCCGAGGCCAGCACACAAAGCAGTCATATTGGAAGGGGGGACTGAATGGGAAATGATGAATCTAACAGAAAAGGCGCGGGAGGCAGAGGAGAGGCAGAGACTAAATCCAACAAAGTTGTTCAGCAGAGGATGTCAACAAAAGGCCACTTAACTGTCACGGGCGATTCTCAGAAGGCCCCCTCCCCCGTCCATACCTTCCCAGAATGGCCAATTAGCTGGCCATGTGTGCAGAAAAGGGAGGTCTTTTATTGACCGAGGGCTGCGCTCCTGCACCCCGCCGGACCTACTCCATTATTCCGTAGGTCAGCCGCTCAGACATGCCGAAGTCCCCTAGAGCCCTGGCTTCGGGAACTCCCAGACAGAAACATTAGCCAAGGGGCTGAGCACCTCAAAAAGAAAGCAATTATGCTTTCCACCCAAGTAACATTCAGCGTTAGTAGAAATCAGAATGAAAGAATGTATTAGTAAACAATAACTCCAGGATTTCAAAGAAAAAAGTGGAGATGGTGCTAATTGGCAAAAGCACCCAGCATCTTCTTGTTCGATAGCATCATTTTTAAATCACTAACGAAAGACAATGATCCCTGCTGCCGGGCTTGGGGGTGGGAGAGGGAGAGCGAGATCAAGAGCAAAAGAGAATGAGAGAGGAGCAAGTTAAGAATTCTCGAGAATTCTATGGCAGGACTTCCAAAAGAATTTTCTGTGATAATAGAAATGTTCTATGTCCTCACTGACCAATAGGATAGCCAGTAGCCACCCAAAGTGTGGATGGTGCAACTGAGGAGTTGAATTTTTTATTTTATTTAGTTTCAATTTGTTTTAATAGCCAGAGGTGGTAAATGGGCACCATATTAACAGCATAGTTCTGCGGGGCTTCACCGGCCCTAACCCTGCCGCCAATTGGCTGGAGTTAAAGCGGAGTCAGTGTTTGATCCGGTACCTAATATTGGCCTCTCCCTTGAGACTAATTACTCCTCTAATCATGTATTCAATAAACGTCCACTGAATACCTACTATGTGCCAGGCACTTGCTAAAATCTGGGAATAAAACAGTGATACACACCTGGCCCTTAGATTTCTAATGGGGTAAGTAGAAAATTAATTTACAGAGCGTACAAATCAATATAAACCTGTAGCTGGTGTACAGGCTACAAGGGGAAGGGCCAGTGTACCGTGAGGACAGGTGACATGGACTCCGCATAGACCGAAGCGACCCAGTTTCTTTCCCTAGAGAAGTTTTTTTTGTCCGGGGGATTTCATCTCCTGCAGGTGGGTGGACTAAACGCTCCTGCTCAAATGGAACGATGAAAATGCTGGACAAAATAGTTAAAATAACTGTTTCAAGTATCAGTTGCAGGAAAGTAAGACTCTGCACATTCCAAAAAGAAGTAAAAACCAGACACCAGAGAAGTAAGTGCATTTTCTCCCTAAAGTTCACTAAACCCTAGAAGGGTTTTGGGTTTTGTGGGGGTTTTTTTGGAAAATTCTTTTTTTAACCCTCTATCCTCATTGAGCAAATGCTTATTGATTTTAGAGAGCGTGTGTAACATCAGTGCCCTGTAGGTGCCCCAGCCAGGGACCCAAAAACAACCTAGGCACAGCCCTGCCTGGGAATGGAGCCCTCAGTGTCTGGTGCAGGGAGCCACGCCCCGCTCAACCGAATCACCTGGTCCCAGGCAACCCGAGAGCTCTTGGTCTCCCCCCTAGAAAAATAAGCCTTGTATCTAGGATCATTTGCCTTCTGCTTGAAGTACACCTTTTAAAATATTACTCGAGTGAAGTTCTTCTCTGTTTTTATTTGTCTGAAAATTCTTTATTTTTCTCGGTTTCAATTCTAGGGTTTTTTTAATTAATTTTATTGATTATGCCATTATAGTTGTTCTATTTCCCCCTTCATTCCCCTCCACCCTGCACACCCCCACCCCCACTATTCCCCCCTTGAGTTTATGACCACATGTCTCAAGTTCTTTAGATTCTATATTTCCCATACTATTCTTGCCCCCCATCTATTTTCTATCTACTGTCTATGCTACTTATTTTCTGTACTTTCTCCCCCCTTCTCCTTCTCCCACTCCCCTGTTGCTAACTCTCCATGAGATCTTCATTTCTATGGTTCTGCTCCTGATCTAGCTGTCCTCTTAGTTTGCTTTTGTTTTAGATGTGGTTGTTAATAACTGTGAGTCTGCTGTCCTTTCACTGTTCATATTTTTCATCTTCTTTTTCTTAGATAAGTCCCTTTAACATTTCATATAATAAGGGCTTGGTGATGATGAACTCCTTGAATTTGATCTTATCTGAAAAGCACTTTATCTGCCTTCCATTGATTATTTTTTTTCTCTCAGCATGTTGAAAACATCTCACTGTCTTCTGGCTTTCTTTTTTTTTCTGTTAAAAAGTAATCATCGGTCCATTTACTGTTCTTTCATAATTTACCTTTTCTTACCCCTGGTTACTTTGCACATCTTTTTCTCTTTGATGTTGCGTGGTTTTATCTCCATGTACCCTTCAGGTATAGAGTGTCTAGGCAGAGATTTCTTTGAGTGTATTCTGCTTGAGATTTATTTAGATTCCTCTATCTAGGGACAGTCTTTCCACTGTTTTCACAAATTTCTCAGTCATTGTGTTTTAAAACTTTGCCTCTTTTTCATTCGAATACCTTCTGGAACTTTTGATTAGGTAGATATTTTAGGTCTTCTCATTCAACCCTCCAAATCTCTGAATCATTCTATTTCCATTTCATTGTTTCTTGCAGCTACATTCTGGAGAATTTATTTGTATTAAATATTTGTTTCTTTATTCCAATGAACTGATTCTCCCATCAGCTGAGTTTAATTTGTGATTTCATCAATCTGCTAAATTTTCTATTTTCTTTTCTACAGTTCATTAACTCTGAAACAATTTTTTCCTCGCACTTTAATACCCCTGAAATCAGGATGCGTCTCACAGTCCGTGGCGCCTCGCAGCGAGGGCTGGCAGAGCAGGCGCCCAGAACCTGATGGTTTCACCACCAACACAGCATGGCATTCATCTTTACCAGTTCTACTGGGTTCTTTTCCAAGCCGAGCGACTCAATATTTCTTATCTACGTCAGAGCTCCTTGTTCGTTTCCTTAAATTTGTAAAATCTAATTGTCTTGTATTCTATGTCAGATCATTGCACTATCTGAAGACTTTGTGTGTCTTTCTGTTACGCATCGTTTCTGCTGGTTGTCACTCGTGGTGCGCCGTTTTCTTGTGCCTTTATCTGTGAGCTAACCAGTCATTTTCTTCGGACCTTTATCGTAGAAACCCTTGAGGCCTGGGTCGAAGTTGAGTTTTTCCAGAGAGCACTTGTGTTGACTTTTGTGAGTTGTCAGGGGAAGGGGGGGGGGGGGGACGGCTACCAACCTGAGACCAATCTAAATTAAATGAATTTTGCTTGTGGAGTTTTTCCGGTGGGGGGAGGGGCAGTATAGTTAGTGCAAATTTAGGTCACAAACGCTCGTCCGGGCTTCCTTGTCATTATGAATTCTCAGGGGGTAGTTTCTTCCCAATCACCTAACGCCAAGATTTTAAATCCTGGACAATAACAGCATATATTTGCAAGGAGGTATCAGAGTGAGTGTTTTAAGGTGCTGGGATTGTTGGGAGAAAAGATAGATATTGATCATTTTCTAGACTTTGGTGAGTTTGCAATGTTCAGTTGCTAAACTAAGAACTAGAAGACCCCAAACAGGTAGAAAAGGTAAAGATGAAAGGAGAAAGATAGAGGAAAATAAAACAAAAGAAAATGAGAAACAAAGGTTTCAAAAAGAAAATTTTAAATGTAGAACAGGTATGAAGGTCATAAAAAGAAGAAACTCACTTAAATCTATTTTCAATCATATCAAATATAAAAGCATTTAGCTCTCCAGTGAAAAACAAAAATTATCAGAATGGATTTTTTTTTAAACCTAGCTATATGTATTTACAAGAGCTTTGCTTAAAGAATAAGAACAAAG